AACGGCCGGCGGCGGCGGTAAAGCGGGTGGTGCGAACACCAAGACCGCTGTGGGCGGAGGCGGCAAAGGAGCTGGCGCTAGCAAAGCAGGAAGCGCCGGCGCCGTAGGTAAGACGGCAGGAGCTGGACGAGGCACCGGCGCGAACGGAGGCGGCAAGGCAGCAGTCGCTGCCCGCGGCGGTGGAGCTCAAACTGGCGGCGGAGGCAAAGGAATGGGTGGTGCTGGCGGCAAGACCGGAACGACTGGAGCCGGAACTGGTAAAGGTGCTGCTGGTAAGCCCGCTGGCGGCGGCGGCGGCAAAAATGGTGGTGCCACTGGCGCGGCCCGCGCAAACGGTGGAGGCGGCGGTAAGGCGACTCCTCAGGCTGCCGGCAGGAAGGCTGACACGCAGGCCCGCAGCACTACTGGCGGCGGAGCCGGAGGCGGAAAGACCGTGGCAGGCAAAACTGGCGGAAGCGCGGCGGGCCGCGGCACCGGCACCAATGGAGGCGGAAGCGCTAAAGTGGCCGCAGCTGGCGGCAAGGCACCAGCGGCGAACCGCGGTGGCGGCGGCGGCGGCGGAGCTGGAGGCGGCAAGGCCGGAGGCGCCGGCAGTAAAGGAGCCGCAGCACCTGGACGTAAGGCAGTGGCGACAACACGCGGTGGTACTGGCGCCGGCGGCGGCGGCGGCGGCGGCAAAGCCGGGGGTTCGAATGGCAAGCCGGCCGCTGGCAGTCGTGGCACTGGCGCGAACGGCGGCGGCGGTGGTGGGGGTGGAAAACAGGCCGCAGCGGGAAGCAAGGCAGCCCCGACGACGGCGCGCGGCGGAGGTGGAGGCGGCGCCAAGGGCGGCGGGGGAGGAGGTAAGGCGGCCGGAGGTGCCGGCGGCGGTGGTGGCGGTTCTGCGCGCGGCAACACCGGTCGTAGCGTTGGAGGAGGAGCGAGCAAAGCGACCCCTGTGCGCACGAATGGCGGCGGTGGAAGCGCTGCGCCGAAGAGCCAGGCGAGAGGAGGTACCAGCGGTGGCGGCGGCGGGACAAAGGCTCCGGCGCAGAAACAGCAAACTGGAGGTGGAGGCGGCGGCGGCGGCGCGGCGAGGCAGTCAGGCACGACGTCGAAGCAGGCGGCAGCAGCAGCACCGCAGAAACAGCAAGCAGCTGCGCCGAAACAGCAGGCAAAACCATCGTCAGCTGCTGCCGCGCAGAAGCAACAACCGGCAGCAGCTTCTAAGCAGGTGGCGGCCCCGAAGCAGCAGCAGCAGGCGGCTAAGCCCGCAGCGGCAGCATCGAAGCCGGCAAGTGGTGGTGGGGGAGGAGGCAAAAAGAAATGAGGAGGAGTTAGAGAGGAAATGTATCGGACCTCAACGGGATGATTTGCCGAGTGCATTGTCTTCGTCGTTACAGTACTACTACTACTTACACTTCACTTTTCAATCATTTTCGATACTACTACTACTTCTTCTACTACACAAGTGCTGTTTCCTCTTTCCGTTCTTCTCTGAATAATGCGCATTTGGCCAACACACACACATACATATTTTCGTCAGGGACGACAGGAACATGTTGAGTAAGGTCTTGGTCAAGCAGGACCGATCCTTCCGCCAGTAGGACCAATACTTAGCTCCCTGGTGACAAAAACGAACTCTACGTACAGCAGCAGCAGCAGCAGCGCCAGCCGCGACGTCATCGTAGCCACCCTGGCCGTCGCTCCCTAGCATGGTTGTGGCCGAAATTCTTTCGCGCCTCTTGGTCCCAGACCTGTGGGCCACCGCTACCGCGTCGGCAACTTGACGACATTTGAGCGTTAGGGGCGTCGTCGCTTTCTGCTGCAAATTTGATACTTCCCATACCTGACCGAAACACACACCTTGCTTGCTCCCAACATGTTGAAAACCCATCTGTCTCCAGGTCGCGGAGAGTGCGAACCAGTCTGTCTGGCGGCGAATGCTCCTTAAAACATACTACCGCGGCAACACCTTCGTTGCAAGGCTACCCATGCCCGACGGCGACGTCTGGCCGTGGATGCCGATGATAAAGTCTATCTCGATCCAAACGGCGAGCAGCCATGGCCTGCAGCCAGCGCTGCAGTCGGTCCAGGCGGTACGGAATCGATTCGTTGGGAATGAATTAGTTCACGCGGTGGCGGCGGCCGCCCAGGCCCGCACCGGGCGTTGTGAAGGGGAGTTGTTGGCGAAGAGCAGAGTGCGGACAAATGTGTGAGGTGAAGTCAGGTCACACGCCCGTCCAACTCGTTTTGCACAGGACTTTGCAAACAAGGACATGGACATTCTGTTGGGTTCTGGTTTTGAAACACCCTGTCTGACAGTTGAGATTCCTCAATTTAGCAATAGAGCCAGGAAGTTGTGCAAAAATTTTGTGGTTGCTGAATGTCTATATGTTATATGTTGTATGAAGGGCAGATGGCTGAGTTGGTCCAAGGCACCAGATTAAGGCTCTGGTCTCCCTGGAGGCGTGGGTTTGAATCCCACTCTGCTCAATTACACTGCCAGAATATCACCCTAGGATCATTTCAACCCTGAGCCTTGATGATCTGCCTTTTCGGACCACATACAGGTTTTGATAGTTGAATGTAATCGGACTTCTATCTCCCAATTGCTGAGCACACCAATAAATTTCAGGGAAAATTGGAAGAACAATTGAAATAATTGAGGAATGGACAGAGCACCAATGAGGTCCAATGGCTGCAAGCTTGTGCACCTTTTGACCCACAATTTTTGGCCTTTCAGGAATTGTTTCCTTACGAGAATCTCACAGAACCAATCGCCCTGACATTGCATTGTACACCACACAATTAACCTTTTGAGAGCCCTGCGCCCCCTCACTCTCCTCAAAAAAAATTCTGCTAGTGTCAGATAGCAGTAGGCTGATATCATGGGGAAGCTCTGTTAACTCAGTTGGTAAGAGTGTAGAGCTACTACGCCCTCTTGTGACTTGAGGTACTCTAAAGTCACAAGTTCGATCCCTGTACAGAGCATGTGGATAAATAAGGTGACTGATTTTCTGGAGCACCACACTTTAAGCTGTCTTGGTTCCTCAACCCCAAAAGACTGAGCCAGTTTGAATTGTCAATCTGGTTTTTGCGCAAAGTACTGAGACCAAGAATTGGCGATCAAGTTGGCAATGGCAGCAGGCGCGATCAGGTTGAGTGTCCTGTTTGTCACTGAGGGTTTTGAGGACATGGGCAAGGTTTGGTGGACAGGTCACAAAGAGAGGCGGAGTCGCAGGTGGAGCCAAGCCAAGTTGCAATCAAGTGTGGTACGACTTTTTTGCTTGCTTTTTCAATGTGTCTACTTTTTTTTTTCATTCCACTAATTGGGTTGTCTTTTTCACTCTGATTGCTGTCAAAAAAAAGGATTCTTTGTGGGCAACTTAGGGGTCTTGAATTCTCCTTGCACAGCTAAAGGAGATGTGGCTACCTATAGCCCTCACCATTGCCACATGAGTGGGCAATCCTGGGGCTTGCTGCTGTGGAGATGGAGGTAGTACACTACTGAAGGTGGTGGTGGTGGGAGGTTGATCTTGGCTTCTGTCAGTCTTGTGTTTGTCTTTATACAAAACTGTTACAAGGACCCTCACTTGCAAAATGCTGCAAGTCATCCTTGCAGAGCAGTGTCAGGTCAAAACTCCTGCACACTGCTTACACACCAAAAGACCCAAAACTAACAAGACTTTCTCCCACATCACGTGACCGCCTATCCTGGGGTACCTCGTTCCACCATTACATCATCTAATGCATTGGGTCCTGGGATGTCCCCCAGTGTTGTAAATCACCCTCTGGAAACCTCTGGAACCTTCTAGAACATTCCTTCATGGAACCTTGTGGAACCTTCTGGAACCTTCGTTGTTTTCCTGACTTGTCTTGTTGTCATTGGTATCATTGGTATCATTATATTACTAATTGCTCTTTCTGGAACTTTCTTTGAGTTTTGACAAGGAAGACTCTTAAAAGGTATAAAAGGGGGTTGGGAGACCTGTCCCATCCCTCAAGTGAATTATTGTTTCCAATACAATCATCACTCCTCTCAGTTCCTTGTCTGCCTTGTCCTGTCCTGCCATATTCCTGACACCCAGTGTCCAAAGTGGCAAGCCTGCACCCCTAATATGCCCAGTATCCCTCTGACCAGATTGCTTTACCTCAGCTCCAGCGCCGTCACCGTCCACCAACAATATGAAGTTTTTTGGATGACAGCTAATATTCATTACTTGATACACAGCTAGCCTCTGCCATGGCAAACCCTGTGATTCCGAGAGTCGGACCTATGCTGTAGTTCCCCTCTGCTAGACACTATAGCTGGATTCGACCAAAGATCTCATGCTGGAACAGTCCCTGGCGACTGGAAAAGGACTGATCCAGCTGACAATTTTGGATTCAAAGATTGCAGTTGGTTGTGGGAGGCCAGAAACCTTGAGGCAAAAGTAACTACTCCCATTTAGGGTCAGTTTGAGCTCAGTAACAATGTAGTGTGAAACTGCAAATGTCAGGAGTGCTGCATTTGTGGACATGACAGACAAACAAGCCCACTGGTTCTACAGCAGTCTCCAGGGTGTGACAGACAACACAGTGGCATTGAGCAAACCATAAATCATAAGCTTTCAAAAGCCTTCAAATGAAGGCAAAGGACAGTGGATTAAGTGTCTGCAGCGCGATTGGGAGGTGGGGGAGGGGTTGATGGGCAGGTGATCCCTTAAGAAAATGGGACTATGAGGCTCCAATTGCGCAGACTTTTTGATCTGAAGCGGCTTGACACCAATGGTGACATCCAACAGAGACATGAGGGCAAAATTATTTACGGAGATATCCTGAAAATTTTGGTGAGTGAGACAGGGCCAGAAACTGTCAGCTGAAAAATTGCCAGAAATAACAAAATGCTGACAAACTAGTGATTTCTTTGTATTGGCAGGTCTGTCTGCCGTCCAGCCACTGACAGGAGTGTTGATTTCAACTTTGCAAGTAGGTCACTCACCAAGGTTTTCAGGATATTGCAGTAACAGATGGAGGAATGAGCAGAGTGGAATTCGAACCCTCTCGGGACTACGACCTGAACGTAGCGCCTTGGACCGCTCAGCCATCTGCCCCCATCCTCACACATACCCCTTTTAATAATAGCGTGCACTTAGCCGCTCATCAAGGCAGTGTATCCATGAAGGATAATGGATACCGAGAAGGAACTCAATCAGAGTCTTTCCCCAGTACGATATTTACAAAATGGCAACTACAAGAACATTGTCCTAATTTCAAATAGTGCAGCGGGGAAGGCTGAAAGACAGCCTTCTTGGCTCAGTTGGCAGAGCGTCTCCCTAGTACCAGGAGTGAATCCTGACGGCAGGAGAAGGTCACCAGTTCGATTCTGGTAGAAGGCATGGCTGGCAGGAATTGGGCCTGTTCTATCCCATTATTGAGCCTTACTGGCAGGGAGCGCATTCTGCATTGATCTGCATTTCTGGGTTATTTTCCAATCAATCTGAAACCAGCCAGGAAGGAGGCTAAGGCTGGCTGGATTCAGACCAGATACTAAGAGCTCTGTATCCAAGAATACACACAGACATGGTTTTCTCATATCTGTTTAAAGACCCAGATATCTGGTGGAGGGCGGATGTCTGGACTTTGTCAGCAGATTGGGCAGATATTTGGTCTTTTTGCATATCAGTGACTGGGAATTATCTGTGAGGCAGATGTGGGCAGTAATTGTCCACCACATCCGCCAGAGGTTTGGAGCAGATCCGGCAGAGATCCAGCAGAGGTCCAGTCTCCACTTTCTCAGATGCCAGCCTTAAAGGAAGCTGTTCTCCAGCACTGCCCATTGATTGTGTGCATACTCCAGAACTGTGTTCAAGTCATACCACTTGCACTTAATCAGGAACTTCTGTTTTGGTTTTTTTCTTTTCCCCTGAGGCACAAATCTGCACCCAAACCTCTTTATAATTGTATGATGTTCCTAAGTGAGACACATTTGACACAAGGCAAAGTCTCAGCACGGTAGAAGAGTCAGGCATGCTAGCCTATTTGTTTACTTGGCTAAACTGGATTGTTGTTGTTCTTCCCACAAGATTTTGCAAACCCCACGAAATCTTTGCACTGGTCACATGGTGTAGTTGGTTATCACGTCTGTCTAACACACAGACGGTCTCCAGTTCGAGTCTGGATGTGACCAAATTCTCCTCTTTCTTGTCCCAGCTCTACTGTCTGTTTGTGGTGTTTGTGCTGTTGGCAAAAGATGGGGACTGGGCTGGTGAAGGGGTCTTGTGTGGGTTTCAGTTCCCAAATCAGGAAGGTGGCTCCAGAGCCCTAAAAAGGTATTGGATGGACAGTGTGTTGAGGGCACAGGCCTACTGTGCGTCTGGCAATAATTCTACCACTGAACCCACTGTTGTGCAATGCCTATGAACGTGGCAAATTCCCAGTGTTACTCTGTTGACTAGTATCTCATCTTCTCCAACGCATTTTCCAGCAAGAACAGCAAAGTTGGTCAGTGTACTCAGAGTGGACCACACCTGCAGCTTTACATGACTAGAACTTTGTTCCAAAAAGTTCCATTATATACACTCTGATCTTTGTTTTCAAGAGCCCACCTGGTGGGGGGCAAATTCAAGGAGAGAAAGCCTGATCATTCCCAGGTGAGGCTCCAACATGACGCAACTCAGGTGTAATTGTGTCCTCCCCATGGCCAGAAAAAAGGGACAAATATTGCTGCTTTGTTTAAAAGTGTTGCTGTGCACAGATTGTAATCGACACTGCGCAGAAAAAACTGGGGGGTCTGTTGGTTTGTCCAGAAAAACTTTTCCCATTTTGTTTGAACAGCAATCCAAGCGTGACAGTTTTTGATGTGCTGCAAGGCAGCAAAGCATAAGTTAAAAAGTTTTCTTTTCTTTTTTGTCACGATCTTTGTCAGGTCAGTCTCCTGCATTCCCAAATTGTTTTTACATTTAGTTTTGCCCATAAAAACAGTCAAGAACAAGAAAAGGTCTCGCCTTAGAGGTTGAACCACTCTTGCCACTGCCACTTTTGATCATATTAGCTATGAAACAAGCTCTGTCTGGAGGCTCTGCTCAGGCTGTTTTTTTTTTTTCTCCGCATGGAAACAGTCTGGAGCAAAACAGCAATACCAATTTATTGGATCAACTTGTACCCATCAAAGCAAATTGCAATGAAGCCCCTCGCATCATTTATTTGCTATGCTTTGACAAAGCAATCACTGCCCAGTGTAGTTAGAAAAACAAGAGAAAAATACCTGCTCAGTGTCACCTGCCTCTGTTTGGTGGCAGCACCAACCAGCCTCCCCTCAACACTCCAGACTGATTGTGGGAGTCTTCAAGGCCCCCACCATCACAATTTCCACTGTGGGGAGACCGTCAACCCAAATGTTGAGGCCGCACCCGGATTCGAACCGGGGTTCCCAGAATCAAAATCTGATGTGATAACCCCTACACTATGCAGCCATGCCCTGGGCAGCAAACCGTAAGGATCACGTTTGTGGACAAAACTTCGCATCACATCCTCTTTCCAAAAAAAAAAAAAAAAAGGAAAAGAAGAAAGCTTCCTTTTCTTCTTCATTTTGTTTCCTTCCAACATGCCCTTATGTTATTAGCACACAGAACTGAGTTCTGTTTGTTGCTGCCTGTTGTCTGCCATCACCTCGCTCCCCAGGCCTCGCACTGTATGGAGCGTCTTGCAGGCCACAAACCTCAGCAGTTTGGAAATGGCAGACCAGGCAGTGTTTAAACCTTCCACAACTTGAGGAGGGCAACCTACAGTGCCATTGTGCCAGTCTGTGCCACTGTTTTTCCAAATTAGATAACAAAACCCTTTGGGAAAGTTGCATTTTGAGGTCAAAGGATTGAATCAAATTGAATCACATAGGAAATGCAGTCTTAAGGATCAGAGTGAGTCCTTATCCTTTCCAAGGCGAGTTTTATGGAATGCAGGATATCTGGCAGTGGACAAGTCATGACAATCCATTGTGGATGATTTTCATGGAGTGTGACATGAGTGGACTCCTTAGCTCAACGGTAGAGCATTCGACTCCAGATCGAAAGGTTGCGTGTTCAAATCACGTAGGGGTCATTTAAAGACCTACTACACAGTCCATATATTTATTATTGACAGTGTTTGAGTTACTCAGTTCCAGCTCCCTTTCCGCCGCTGGTGCAGGCAATGTCTGGAGCCCAAAGCATGGATTCAACTTGGTTTTGTGTGACAATCGAGAAAGATTTCCCCAACTGCAACAATGAGCCCTTCAGCCCCAGGGAGAGTAAGGCTGTCGTCTGCTTATCTCTATTGGGGGTTTTTTTTCCTTTTTTTATTTTATTTTATTATTTTCACTAACTCCACCAAAAAAATTTGTAAAATCCTGCCAAAGTTGGCATAAAATACACATTGGAGAACTCCATATTGTGTCCAAAATCCAAAGAAATTTGATTGAGAAAGTATCAGGAAAAGGCAAAGTATCCTAATTATCTGCTTGTTGTTGGATATTTCAGATGATCTTGAATATTTCTTGAGTTTTCCATAAAAACCATAAAATTTGTTGGGTTTTTACTGTAGACACACAATGTGGTATTTCAGTGCCCATTTTATGCCAACTTTGGCCAGATTTTACGATTTTTTGGCAGAGTTAGTACTGCAAAGAAACCAATTTATCTGAGATAAGCAGACTGCAGGCTTTACAGGAGAGTGGAGACTTAGTTTGGGTGAGGCTGCCCTCTCTATTGGCACTGAGTCTTTGGGGCAACAGTTTGCAATCCTCTCATCAAATTTTGTCACAGTTGGATGCAGAATGTGAAGGTAGGAAACTGGATCAATAAACTAGCAGTCTTTTGACTTCTAGTACCACTGACCAGCGCCAGTTATGTTTCCAACAGGAATCTGGCCTCAGCTACTTGAAGGAGACCAAAAAGTGGGAAACAATTGCAACATAGAACACTGCCAAGCCCCAGTAGTTGTAAGAGTATTTGAGCTGTGGCCCATGCTGAAGCCTTTCTCCTGGGCAATGAAGGTTCAACCACAGACAAGCATGGGGACTGCTGGCTGATGCAAAAGAAGATTATCAGCAGTTGGCACCACCACGCAAATTGCGTCACACATGGAGCGCATGTCAGTTGCAGGAACTTGGAATGAACAAATGAGCAGTCAGTGCTGAGTATAGTGCATCCAACCACCCAGGTTCGAACTGGGGACCTCATGATGGCACCAGGCAGAGGGTTGTTCCTTTTCACTCCTGCGTTGCATTGCTTCTCAACATTAGCTCCAAGCACCTAAGGCTCCTCAAAGGAAACCGTTAACTGTCACACCATCCGAAACCTTATTTGCCACAATCTGAATTTTTTATCTTGAATTCTCAAGCGCAAAGAAGAGCGATATGAGCGAGAGGATGAGAGTAGTCCCGAAAAAAAAGGGACAAAAAAGAAAGAGAGGAAAGTTGGACAAAAAGCTGTGGCTGTTGGTCACAACACTCGATGCGAAGATGAGTCCTTCACCCTAACGTGTCGCTTTAATCCTTCTTTTCGCAAGAACCTGCAATTATTTCAGTGTCATACTTTTTCCCAAGAAATAGACCTTAAGCCACATAAGCAGACAAATTTCGGCCGAAGCTCCAAAGGTTTGAGAGTCTCTGTGTGCTCTTTCAGGTTGCCAACTCGATTAAAGCTGTGGAAATTATATTCCATCAATGTAAGGAGAGACGCGGTAATTGAAAATGTGTACCTCTTCCTGCAGCCTTCCGTATTGCAGACAAACTTCTTTTCAGGAATCTGCGCTGTCTGGTGGACTGCTGTTTCCGCAGACTGTGTTGTCACGTGGACTTCTTTTCGTTTTTCCTTGTCGGGGTGTACTGTGCGGCTGTGATCTTCAAACTCAGCGTTGCTGGAAAACTGCTCTTGGCAATATCTACACACGCAAGATTTCAGTTTGTCAAACCAGGCGGCGCGCTCACTGAGAAAGTAAACAAGTTTTTGTTTAATTATTGAGGGATCAATGACTGCAAAGGTCATAACAAACATGAGAAACTCGGATAGATTGCCGTATGCCTTAACAATTTCGTTAATGTCAAATCTCGGCAAAAAGGGAGCTGTCCCTCGTT